CACCCCCCCCCAGGTCGCGGTGGGGACCGGGCTGGCCGTCTTACCTGCCGCATTTTTTACAAGGGAAAGTGTTCTCCTGATTTTGGGTCTTATTAAATGTCTCCGGTTTTTTCTTCTTTTCTGAAAAAGGTAGTGCCCTTCGTGACTTCCCTGCCCCCTCCCTTGGCTTCTCCGAGGCCTGGCCGCCGGCAGACCCAGGGGCGTTGGACTCGTGGCTCCGGAGGATGAGGATGTCATTGGCCTGGAGACAAACAAGGAGAGTTGAGTGATTTGGGGAAAGGCTCCTCAGAATTATGGGAACGGGGGCCCCTTAAAGGTCAAACACCACCCTCTGTGTCCTTCCAGAGCCAGGGCACTGCCGGCCACCTCGGAAGCCCATCGCCATGGCGTCTTGGGTCAGCTCTCCCATTTACAAAGTTGCTGGTACAGTAATTCTGTGGGAATGCTCGAGCTGCTATGGGACCCCTTGATGCACATGACAGGGGACCTTGGCGTCTGAATTAATGAAGCACGTGTTCAGTTTTCTGTCATTTAGTCCATGCCTAGTCCATCAGGCCCCTGTGATGTGCTGGGTGCCGGGGATACAGGCTTGACAGGCACCCCTGCCCTCAGAAAGCTCCCAGCCTAGTGGAAGGGACAGATGTGCGGGTAGCTGGCTCAGGACAACATGGCATGGGTGACGCTGAACTGAGGTGAAAAGCAGGGCTCAGAGAGCGCCGGGCGGGGGACCCGATGGCCATCAGAAGTGGTAAGTGTGTGCGCTGGGCTGCCTCTCAGGAAAGCGAGCACAGAAGCCAGCAGAACTCGACGGAGCGCGTACACACAGCACAGCTGCTGCTGCAGAGGGAGCAGAGAGCTGTGTGTTTACAGATGGGGGTCTGCAAGCCTAAGTGTACAACACGACATTTTTTGAAAAAAGACTGGCAGTAGCTCCCCACTTCCCCCTTCCTGCCAGGCCTCTCCTGGCAAGGAGCAGCTATGGCTGTAGTCTTCCTTCTTGGCCTCTGGTAGGTGGACAGAGCACTGCACTAGGAGTCCAGCGACACTTAGCATTTCTGAACCTGCTGCCCCATCAGCAGAGTGGGGGTTTATGGGATTATTGTGAGGAATTAATGAGCTAATGGAAATGAAAGTGCTTTGCAGAGAGCATGCCTGAGGGGCCATTATTGTTACTCCCAGGGTCTCAGCTCAGTCTCAGACATTCTTGTCAGGGACACAGCTCTCTCAGGGGGAACCCTGTCCCCAATGTCCCACATATCTACTAGGTTTTCAAGAAGCCTTTTTCCTCGGAAACTCAGATACAGAAACAGTATAGTATAAAAAACAACAGCAGACTCTGGAGTCAGGCTGCCTACTAGCTGTGTTATCTTGGGCCTCAATTTCCTCATCTGTAAAATGGGAATAATAATTATGGATTAAATGAGTTAACAGCATAAAGTACTCCATGTACTTCCTGCTATTATGAGATGTTGAGTATCAATGCATTCCTGCTCTGCCCTCCCCCCCACACTCCTCCTGCCCTGGGCTCAGAGAGTGGAGGTCACACTTACCGACTCATTGGCCTGTAGTGTCTGCGTGGCTTTGACAGCTGCTGCCCGCCGGCTGCGCTCTCGCCCCTCTTCCTGCTCCCCCTTCTCCTGGATCTCTGGCTCTTCCTCCTCCCCCTCCTTCCTGGGCTCCTTCACTTCCCTCTTGGGCTCCAGCCTCTCTTCACTTGGGGGCTCTCTTCTGGGAGGAGGCACCCTTGGGAACTTCTGGGAAGTCTAAGGGGGACAAGAGCAAGGTCAGTGAGCCTAGAGCTCAGTCACACTGCCATAGCGCACCAATTCTGACCTGCCCAGGGTTTCCCTAGCCCCTTGCTGGTCCTGCTTGTCTGGCCTAGCCCAACACAGCCTTCTGTACTAGGACTATGTGCCCAATCACAGCCCTCCCATGGCTAGTATGCCTGGGGACAGAAGGAGAGTCTTGAGCCTTGGGAACCCGCAGGGTGAGACAGAGCACTTGAGATAGAGCCAGGGGCAGAAAGGGAGTATGCCAAGCGGCCTGGTGAGCCTTGAGCTCCAATTCCAGACTGTCTTTGTAATGCTTTCTGTATCTCCACCACCTTCCCATCTAAGAAATTAGCACCAAACCACACTCCTTGTCTTAGAGTAGGCATGTCACCAAGTGTGCACTTGTAACCCTGAGATGATGTTAGGTAGACATGTGGGCACAGAACTAAGTAACATTCACTTTTCAACTCTCTTTTGATCCTGATTATATCAAGGACAAAGTCTCTGGTTGGTGTTAATGTGTCTTATACTTTTCTAGACTTGAGAATCTCTTTAACAGAGAGGTCAGCCTTCAGTCTTAGAGCCTTGGGGGGTAACACAGTACCTGGCTAGAATTTAATAACACTGTTTGGTTTTCATACATATTTATTTTACCAGTACCTTCTATTTATGGCAAACAATACTGGTTTTCTAGTTACGACTGTGATATAAAGTTTCCCTTCTAATTGAGTAAAAAATGACTTGATTTAAAGAAAAATATTAAGTAACAGCACAAGTGGTATGTGAACACAACAAAAGTAGTAATAGTGACACATGGTAGGATGAAGACATAACAGAAATCATAGAGGTGACATAAGAATAACTGAAGTTTAGGAAACTGTTAGAGGTCTGCTATGAGGGGACAAGTTGATGCTGGTACAAATCCTGTGCGAAATTCTCCAGTGTTCTGCCTGAACACAATATATTATTACTATGACATTGGTAGTATAGAGAGGGGAACCCAAAGGTCCAGGGCCCGGGACATCAGCTCCTTGGGGCTGTCAGGGACATTGCCTTCCTCCACCTGACCTCCACAGACTCCTGGAGAGCGTGGCCTTAGGCTCCCAGCTGGCACTGGCCCCAGGCCCAGCCCAGGTTCTAGGCAGCTGATGTTGGGCAAGGAGTCACCTTAATATCCACTTCAACCTCTTCTTGGGCCAACTTCTCATCACTTGTATCCACATCCCCAAAGGTTAGAGTCCCGTTGCGGCCAATTTTCACCTGCTTCTTGTAGGTGTAGTAGAACTCCACGCACTGGGCCACGGTCTTGGTCTGGATCTGGTTTGAAGCCAAAACTGAGGTCAGAACACCCTGGGTTGGCTTGCCTTCCTGGGGATAATCCAGCCTTTCCCATTCCTGCACGTCCCCCTTAACTTCCGGCCAAAAACTAAACCCAGTCAACCCTGGAAATAGAAGCATTTCTCCAATACCTGTTCTGCAACAAACCACTGATCAATTCTATTAATGCTTCCATACTATTTAAAATAAGTGAATAAATAAATACAATAAGCTATAAAGGACAACACTGGAACCACTGGGAAGATGTGAATACAGATTGCATATTAGTATTATTGTATCAGATTAAATTCCTAAGATGGGTTTAATGGTATAGTGGTTTTGTAGAATATACTTGTTTTTAGGAGATATATGCTGAAATCTTTTGAGTCATGACAGGATGTTTGTAACTTACTTTTATTTTTTTTTTTGAGACAGAGTCTCACTCTGTTGCCCGGGCTAGAGTGCCATGGCATCAGCCTAGCTCACAGCAACCTCAAACTCCTGGGCTCAGGTGATCCTACTGCCTCAGCCTCCCGAGTAGCTGGGACTACAGGGATACGCCACCATGCCCGGCTAATTTTTTATATATATATATTTTTAGTTGTCCAGATCATTTCTTTCTATTTTTTAGTAGAGACAGGGTCTCGCTCTTGCTCAGGCTGGTCTCGAACTCCTGACCTTGAGTGATCCACCCGCCTCGGCCTCCCAGAGTGCTAGGATTACAGGCGTGAGCCACCGCGCCCGGCCATGTAACTTACTTTTAATGATTACCTGAAACAGAGAAAGAAAAATTGTGTGTGTGTGTGTTTGTGTGTATATGTTTAGATACAGACAGAGAAAGAGAAAGCAAATGTGGCAAACGTTAACACTTGGTAAATCTAAGTGAGGGGTAAATGAGTGTTCATTATACTGTTCTTTCAATTTTTCTCTAAGTTTGAAATTTTTCAAACTAAAAGGTTAAGGGGAAATGTCTGGGCACCATTCACATTCAAAGCCAGCCCCGACCTGCCAATACAGGCAATACTGCCTGCCTCATCAATCCAGGCAAACACTTTCATTCCTCTCCTGACAACTGAGGACAGAGAAATGTCACCGTGTCCTACGGAGGGGAGGAACTCAAGGAAAACTAACGAGAAAGCCCTGGAAAACCTGAAAAGGAAGCAAAAGGCCCAAGTCTTGCTCCTAATTCTGCCACCAAATGGCTACATGACCTTAGGCAAGTCACTCACCTTTCTAATTTCAGTTTTTTCATGTGTAAATAATAAGTGGGATAAGTTAAGACTAGATGATCTCCAGGGGCTTTCAAGCTCTGAAATTCTAGCCATCTCATTTCATAAATCTACGGGTTTAGTTTTTGGACTACTTTCCCACACACAGAGGCTGTTTTCTCTGACACTACCCCCATTCCCCCACCCCCACAAGCTCCCAGACTGCTCAACCACTGCTGGGCTGGGAGCTCCTGTCCAGAGGGCCCAGGGGTCAGTACAGGTCCTCTCTGCCTGAGGACAGACATGTTTCCTCCCACAGGAATGACCAAGTCACACATTTGTTAATTAGATTGTTTATACTTTTACTGTCAATTCTCTCTGACCATTTCACTGACTAATGATCTGCTCTTTTCATTAGGCATTAGAGGCGCCTCAGTGAATTTCATGGGCACGTACTTGGGCATGTACTTCCCAGCAATATTGACCAATCAGAGAACAAAGTGTTAATAAAACACAGCAAAAGACTGTCCTCACAACAGGGCCCTCGTAGGAGAATTCATCAGCACTCTGTCCAAGTCCCTAGGGCCATTCCCAACACAATCTACAATCCCAGGAAGAGCCAGTTCTTAGAAGTGCTTTTTCCTCTGCCGTCCACACGACTCACTCTCCCCACAGCCCAGATTTGTGAGACAGGGCTGGAAAGATGCAATTCCTTGGATTAGCAAAGCACTCTACTCTTCCAAAAGAATAAGGAGAGAGACAAGATAAATCTAGGGAACCTAGGCTTGGTTAGCTGAGTTCCTGGAAGGAAGCCTTGGGCCAGACAGGAAGTGGGCAGAGGTCCCCCAGGTCTGCTACACAGGTACATACGGGATCCCAGTTCCCCTGACCCTAGGGTTCCCTCCCCTCCTGCACTCCCCTGGGGGATGGCTCACCCCTGCTTGTAGCCCTCCTTCCCGTCTAGTTCTCCCGCCTATTTTAAGTCTGATGCCACAAGGACTGATGCCCACTTAGGCCTCCTTCCAGATTGAGACCTGAAGCATGGCCACACCACGCTAGGGTGGTAGAAGGGTGCTTAGAACCAATAGGGAAAAAAGCCCTAATCTTTTCCCCTTCTTGTATTGTTTGGAAAATCATCCCTGAGCCTACTTAATGGCATTTAACCTGATGCTTTTTTCTTTTTTTTCTTAAGGAGCAGGGGTCTGGCTATGTTGCCCAAGCTGGACTCAAACTCCTAGGCTCCGGGATCCTCCTGCCTCAGCCTCCTGGGTAGCTGGGACTACAGGCACATGCCACTGTTCCTGCCCTGACTGCTTTTTAGGAGGGCTTGGTCACTCGCAGAGGGAGCCCCAGAGTCACTCAGACAGCTCCTGGTGCTCACTTGCCCCTGAAACAGAGCCCAGCTCACCAGCTTCTGGACCAGGAAGAAATCCTTCTTGTAGATGGCAATGCCCTTGTTGAACAGCTTCCTCTCAGCCATCTTCCACTGGTCGGAGCCTACCGGGCAAAGAGGGAGCAGTGAGGTGAGCAGGACGATGAGCACCAGACAATCCTGACTAGCAGGAAGTGTGAGGCCACCCACCCCCAGTCTCTGCAGCATTGGAGCCAGCTGCACGTCCTGCTTCTGCCACTCACTGGCCATGTCACTCGGAGCCTTGCTCCCCTTGTTTGTGAAACGGGTACTAATAACAGATCCTGGCTCACTAGCTGTGGTGAGGACTAAATGAAATAACGCATGTGAGACCTTTGGTCCTCTGCCTGGTGCAGATAAAATGTAGCACTAACGAGGATCAAGAACAGTGGCTGCTAGGATTATGCAACTTGGTCGATGTCCCCCTTGAAGTACAGTGCCTAGAACGGGCATGCACTCCAGGGCCCATCTAAGTTCCAGGTACCTGATGCCAATTTGGATGGCACAGGCCTGGCTTCCTATCCCTGCACCTGTGATCTGGGCTTTTTTGCCTCAATGGGCTCCCACCTGCCCACCCCCTTCTCCATTCCCCTCCAGGGTACAGAAAGCTCCTGGAATGCTACCCCAGCTTTAGTGCCAGTTCCCTCACTCTGGCTCTTGGCTTTTCTACCCCCTACCTCCCACCCTCCAACCCAGGGCTGTGACTCAGCACCAAGCAGGGCCCCACTGATGCTGGAGACCTTCTGAGGCTCCAGGCCCCATGCCCACCCCAGCTAGACCTACCTGTGTAGTGATAAGTTGCCAGTGGGTGGTTGTGGGGCCGCAGGGGCTTCTTCAGTAGCAGCTTATTCAGCGTTTCCTACAAGGCAAGTAAGGGAAGGTGAGGGCCCTGCAGGGGTCTCAGTGGTGAACCGAGCATCCTAGTCCCTGGCAAAGGCCAGAGGACCTCCTCAAGCCTCTAAGTAGGGTAGGTGCTTACTCTTGCCCCGCTTAACTGCTGAGAGACAAGGGGTCTAGCAGGATGGCAAGGTCATGGCAGGTGGGGATGCTCAGAAAGCAGGGCACAGGGCCTCCACAATCCGCTCCTTGGTCAGGCCCTCCTCCTGGCCTCCAATCTGCATGCCAGAGGCCTAGCTCCTGGGCAGCAGACACGGATCCAAGCCAGCTTCCCTGGAAGACCCTCCCTCCACCAGGGGTGCCATCTCACCAGGATGTCTCCCCTGGACTCGTGCAGGCAGTGCAGGGCCAGCTCCTGGTTGGTGCCAGCTCCAGGGAAAATGCTGGAACAGGCAGCTGTCAGCAGGTCTTCCACTGGATTCATGGGAGCAGGAGGAGGGAGGAGAGAAAACCCCGTTCAGGGCTGGGCTGGGCTGGCGCGCACATCCACCCACGAGCCTGCCTCACTCCCTGGTTCCCAGGTCCCTCCTCACCTTGCCTCTGCTTTTCGCGGCTGCTCTCTAGGTCCTCCCAGGGCTGCCACACCAAGTCTGCCTTGTGGGGGTCTGCAGCTGCCAGCGCGCGGTCCCTCATCAAGGGGATTTCCGCTTGGAACCGGGAGCCCACGTTGATGCGTCTGTAGGGGTAGAAGGGGTAGGGAGTAAGGCCTCTCCCTGTGGGGATCGAGAACCTACCTCCCCGGAGATGAGAAGATGAGGGGTAGTAGGCAGAGGCAAGGCCTCAGCTGCGTATAGGGTATCTGGCTTCTGGGGGACTGTGGGGACATCCTGGCACCTGGTACCACCAGAAAGGCAAGCACCAGAGGTTGGAAAAGGGAGAAGCTGCTCTAGGTTTACAGATGGGGAAAGAGTCTCTTGGACCACCCTCCCAACACTCCTAGAGATAAATTCAAGCTGAGCTGAATTCCCTTCCCACAGAAGCAGGGTGGGGACAGCAAAGCTTAGGGCCGAGTGCAGAAGCCCAAAGAGGGCTTGGCAGGACCCTCCTCTTGTTCCCAGGGCCCGCTTGCACACACTGAACCAACATGGCCACCCTGATGCCATGGGTGAGAGGCAGGACTGTACTTACGGCTCAATGCTCACTGGGGTGGCCTCCCCCATCACAGACAGGACAGGCGGGGTGACTTCAGCGCTGTCTGTGGGACAAAGAGCAGGTTAGTAAACAGCACTCTCCCTTCAGCAAAGTGCCCCCAACCCTAGGTGGCTGCCCTATAGTGCAAGAGTCACAATGGTGACTCACACTTGGAACTCAGGCACCCTGAGTCCTGGCTCTGCAGCCTGTTAAATGTCATGACTCAGGCCCTTTACTAAATATTTGGGTGCCTCAGTTTTCACACCTGCAAAAAGGGGCTATTACTACCTATCTCCTAAGGTTAATGTGAGGACTGAATGAAATAATTCACAGAGACTAGCACTCAATAAATATTAACTGTTATTATTATTACTACTACTACTAAAACCATGTCCTTGCCCCCAGGAGCTCCTACACTACAGAAGTAACTCCAACATAAAACTATGGTTTCTAGTAAAGAGGCTGAAACTTTAGGCACACTAGGGAAGTACTCAAGGATCCCACTAGTTTTCTTATTTTATTTTTTTGAGACAGAGTCTCGCTCTGTTGCCCACTGCTAGAGTGCAGTGGCGTCATCATAGTTCACTGCAACCTCGAACTCCTGGGCTCAAGCGATTCTCCTGCCTCAGCCTCCCCAGTAGCTAGGGCCACAGGCACATGCCACAATGGCTGGCTAATTTTTCTAATTGTTGTAGAGATGGGGTCTCACTCTTGCTCAGGCTGGTCTCGAACTCCTGGCCTCAAGCAATCCTCCAGCCTCATTCTTCCAAAGTGCTCGGATTATAGACATGAGCCACCACACTTGGTCCCTGCTGTTTTTTTTGTTTTGAGACAGAGTCTCGCTTTGTTGCCCGGGCTAGAGTGAATGCCGTGGCATCAGCCTAGCTCACAGCAACCTCAAACTCCTGGGCTCAAGCAATCCTTCTGCCTCAGCCTCCTGAGTAGCTGGGACTACAGGCATGCGCCACCATGCCCGGCTAATTTTGTCTATATGGTTTTAGCTGTCCGATTAGTTTCTTTCTATTTTTTAGTACAGACGGGGTCTCACTCTTGCTTAGGCTGGTCTCGAACTCCTGACCTTGAGCGATCCACCCACCTCGGCCTCCCAGAGTGCTAGGATTACAGGCATGAGCCACCACGTTCGGCCGGTCCCCACTGTTTTATAATTATCTTCTCACTTCCTCTCTGGATTTTCTGCCTCAGTTTCCCTCAAGCTAATCTTATTAAGGCCTCACATGACCAAGACACTCCCTTCTGCAATGTAAAATAAACCCTGAAATCCTATGTTCATGGTTCCAGGCAGTTCCCCATTCCATCTATACCTCCTACCACCCCCTTGCCTGGACCTCGGTCCTAGCACACTGCTTCCCTCACAGCCCCTCACTCTGCCCGCACAGCCCCACCCCCAGCCTTTGCACCAGTCATTTCCTCTGCCTGCCTGGCTTGCTCTCTGCGCAGTTCAAGCTCCGCTCCAGCCTCACCCCCTCACAATTGCTTTCCTCGCCATCCCAGGCTAGCAGCCTCTGCAGGCTTGCGCTGCGTGTCCGCTGCATTCGCTGGCTGCAGATTCCATGCTGCTGGGAGCCTCTGTGTTTTTCTGACTCCCAGGCTTTCATGTCAACTCCCTGATGACCCTGTACTCTCTTTAGAACAGACCGTGGTGTCCCATACATTCTTAGAACTCTCACAGGATACAGTTCAACGCTTTACACCCAAGTGCTCGGTAAATACTCATGGACAGACTGACCTCTTCCTTGCTGCCAGTCTAGTCTCTACAGTGACTTCTTCCTGTACAGCCCAGCCAGGGAGAGAAGCTTCTCCTCAAGCGGGAAGCGGAGGGCCACAGGCCAGCCAGCCTAGAGCAAACCATTTCTCACCACAGACACCAGGGGGCACCAGAGAGCCACGTCATGAGGTCAGGGTCAGAGGTTAATTGGGTGAAGGCACCCAGAAGCTGGCCCTACTTAATCCTCACCACCACGGTAAGGGATAGGATTATCCCATTTTTCAGAGGAAATGGATCTCTTTGTGGAGTAGGCAACACATTTCAGCAATACACCATGCAGGCCAGCCCAATATTTCCACAAGGTCTGCTCTCGGCCTAAGTGGCTGTGTAAGAGACGCAGGAAACCAGATCTGCCACATGGGATTAAGAGCAAACACGATGTGAAGGGCTTCACGTGTGCTGATGCATCTGATCCTAAGAGTGGCTATTAGGGTGAGCCACAGGACACTGCTACTTGTGGATCCAAAATAGTTGAGTATTGGCAATTTCATCATCAACCAAGTACTGCTAATATCACCATCTTAATACTGAAGAAACTGAGGCCCAGGGAGTTTAGACGACTTGCTCAGGTGGGAGTAATGGTAAATGGCGGGATCGAAATTTGAATCCAAGCAGTCGGGCTGACCCACCCCCTCTTCTTGAACCAGGACAACTTCCTTCTCCATGGAGCCCTTCTCCACGGCGTTCCAGCCCAATACAGAAGCTGAGCCGCCACCCGCCCACTGCCCCATCCCCACCCACACGGCTGCTGGGCGGCCACTCACTAGACCGCAGCAGGGTGCGATGGGCACTCTTCGGCGTGATGGGAGGGGGGGCCGGGATGCTGCTAGTTGATATGATGGCATTGAAGTAGAGGCCAGAGCCTTCCCGCACGGGACTGAGGATGGGGGGTGGCGTGTAGGGGGGCAGTTCGAAGCTCCGCTCGGAGGGGTGGTCAGCCAGGCGGACAGGAGAGCGCAGGTGGCTCTGGTATGGGGTGATGTTGGAGTAGACGGGTGGGGCGATGAAAGTGCCCGCCTTGGTGGGGATGATCAGAGGCTCGGGCCGTGGCCGCTGCTTTGGTTTCCGCACAGAAGGCTCGCCCTCCAACCTGACACTCATGTCCTCAGCCTGGAAAGCAAAGAGAACAAAGGCTCAGCCAACTCTGTCCTAGGACTGAAGTCTTGACCACAGCTTGCCAGTCTCACCTTTGGAACTCAGTCTGCCCACCACACCCACAAAGGCCAGCCTGAAAAAGGGAGCAGGTCCAAAAGCCCTCCTTATCGTCTCCTCTAGGGCAGGGTTAGCAAACTTTTTCTGTAAAGGGCCAGAGAATAAATATTTTCAGCTTTGTGGGCCACATGTAGTCTCCTTACATATTTGTCTTCTTTCACTTTTTCTTTTTTTAAATAATCCTGTAAAATTGTAAAAACCACTCTCAGCTCCAGATTTGGCTGCCAGGACACAGTTCCCCACCCCTGCTGTAAAGTATGCGATAGGGCCCGAGAGCAGTGGTTAAGGGCCCTGGCTCCGGCGCTGGACTGTATGGGTTGGGATCTACTGCACTTATTGCCACTTAAAATGACTCAATCTCTCTGTGCATCTTCATTTTTAACACAGGAATAATAAGTGCCTATTTAATGAGGTAGCTATGAGAACGACAAAAATTAATACATGGACATTACTGGTATTTAGCAATTACTCAGTAAATACTGGCTGTTATTATTACTTAAACTACTGCAGAGATGGAAGCCCCTGCTATGTGCCAAGACCTGAGTTGGGCATGGGACCCACAGACACGGGACAGTAGAACAGACAGTCCCTGTCCTCGCAGAACTTCTTTTCTCATAGTATTGGTCCTGTGATGACAGACTAGCCCACTCATGCTGCCATCAAGAGTTAGCCCTCCCATCTCCCACTTCTCCCTGCTTGGTAAGCCTCATGGTCCTCCATATAGAATAGAAAGCATGGCTATAAGGGAACAGAGGCCTTCCCTTGCTCCATGAAAAGGCAGAGAATGGCCCTACAGGGTGGGCAGCATCCAGTTTATCCCTCTGGGTACCCGTACAACAGGTAAGGCTGGCCATGTTGACTGAGTGGGCCTGGGGACAATGGGCTCTCTCCCCTCCACGGCTCCAGTTCCCGTAACACCTTCCAGCAGAGAGCACCGATTCTCTGCCGTGGCCATGTCCTTCACCCATTTGTGCCCTCTTTTCCCTTCTATGGATTAGGATGAGATGAAATTGTTCATTCTTCCACCCTTAGAGGAACGATATGATTGCACAGAAAAAAATACAGCGGAGCCAAAGATGCCCCAAACTTACTAGACAAGAAATCCAACTCAGCTAGCTGTGATGATCTGTATTTTAACAAGGGATTTAAACTAGTCTGAATATTTGACAGTATTTTTCATATTAATTTTTTAGGTGCGGTAATGCTATTGAGATTATATTTTAAAAAATGACAAAATCTTTATATATGTATTTAATATTTCAGATACAAACTAAAGTACTTATGGATGGAAATGACACAATATTTGGGGTGTGCTTCAAAATAATCCAGTGACAGGGAGAAGTAGAGATACAGGTGAAACAAGATTGGCTGTATTTTGATAACTGTGAAAGCTGGGTGATGGCTAAACACTGGCATTCATTATATCACTCTCTCTACTTTAACATATGATTGAAAATGTCTGTAATACAAAGAAAAATAAATAATGAACTAAATAAACAAATAACAAAAAACACACTTCCTCCAAAAAGCCTAGTATAGTGAAAGCACTCACAGGCAAGCATTCGCAGCTCTGCCATTACTTGGCTCTAAGGCCTTAGGTCAGTCTCTTGTTTTTTCTGGATGTAGTTCCTCATCTATCTCATCTATGAAATAGGGGTGTTGAGCTGTGTATTTGCTCAGGCTCTTCCTGCCCACTCTCAGGACAAGCTGCCCAAGCCTCTGGCCTCTACCAAAACTTTCCCCCAACCAGAGAACAAGACCCCAGAGAGCAGGAGCCATGATGCCCATGATAATCTTGGCGCTCCCCTTCCCGTTACAGAGGATAGGCATGCAGGCCAACTCTCCAGCCCAGAGTAACTGGAAAATCTGGACTCGATGTAAAAAGCACATTTCTGAAGGTATCAGAGAGCAAACAGGTTGGCAAAGAGTTAAAGAGCCAAGATCCAGGGAAATAAAAGAAAGCCAAAGAGGCGAGCCTAGCATTTGGAGCTGTATTTTCCCTAGAGGTGGATGCCGTTACTGGAAGAGGCAACTGAGAGGCTGAGAAACTGCGTAGAGCTTTTAGGAAATTCAAGGAGCTTACACAATAAAAACTGGAGTTCAGGGTTTGTCAAGGAAGGAAAGGTTGGTAAACTTCCAGGCTGTGGACTGGGACTCCAAAAAGCTACATGTCAGAATAAAGGTGAATCAGAAGTAGGCTAGTCCTTATATGGAATAAAGTCCAGCCTCAAATCATCTCATCTTAACCTCTGATTAAACTAAAGTGATTCAGGCTTGCCAGTGCCCTTTGCTACCAATCAGAAGCAAAGACAAATCCTCTCTGGAAGACAACATCACCCAGGGTCTTTAATTACCTCCAAAATTTTTCATATATACTGTCTGACATTCAACAAAAAGTAACCAGATACACAAGAAAACAAAATGTGATGTGAAAACAAGACATAATGAGTAACAGAAACAGGCCCACAATAACGGAGTTATCAGATACAAACTTTAAGAAAACTATACTTAATTTATGCAATAAAATAAAAGGCAAGGTTGAGAATTTCATCAGAGAACTAGAAATTCTAAAAATGAACCAAATAGAAAGTTGGTAATTGAAAAATAAAATAACTAAAAATAAGAACTCAATGAATAAAATAAGAACTTAATGGGAGCTGGGTGCAGTGGTTCACGCCTATAATCCTAGCACTCTGGGAGGCTGAGGCAGGAGGATCGCTTAAGGTCAGGAGTTCGAGACCAGCCTGAGCAAGAGCGAGACCCTGTCTCTATTAAAAATAGAAAAATTAGCTGGCATCGTGGTGCCTATAGTCCCAGCTACTTGGAAGGCTGAGGAAGGAGGACCGCTTGAGCCCAGGAGTTTGAGGTTGCTGTGAGCTAGGCTGACGCCACAGCACTCTAGCTAGGGCGACAGAGCGTGACCTCCCGTCTTAAAAAAAAAAAGAACATAATGAATGAGTTTAACAACATATTAGACACAGCCAAAGAGAGAATTAGTGAAATGAAAGATAAGTCAGATTGATAAAAAATGGAAAATATAGGAAAGTACATGACAGATATAACATACAGATATGGTGGAAAGGTCTAACAAATGTGTTATGGAGTCCTAGAAGAAGAGGAGAGAAAAATGGAGCAGAAAAAATACTCATGAAGCACTAGAAACTCTAAACAGGATAAATATTATACAAAGAAAAACATTATTCAACTATAACACAACTGTTGAAAATCAAAGACAACAAAAACAAAACATGTGAGAGGCCAAGGTGGGAAGATTGCTTGAGCTCACAGGAGTTTGAGACCAGCCTGAGCAAGAGTGAGATCCCATCTCTACTAAAAATAGAAAAGAAATTAGCAGGGCCCGGTGCTGAGCACCTGTAATCTTAGCTACTCAGGAGGCTGAGGCACGAGGATCACCTGAGTCCAGGAGTTTGTGGTTGCAGTAAGCTATGATGACACCACTGCACTCTAGCTAGGGTGACAGAGCAAGACTCTGTTTCAAAAAACAAACAAACCCCAAAATCATGAAAGCAGCAAGATAAAAAGACACTTTACATTAAAAGGAACTATAATATAGCTTATACTGGTTTCTCAACTGTAAGAACAATGGATGCCTGAAAACAGTGGAACAGTATCTTTAATGTGCCAAAAGAAAATAACTCCCAACCTAGAATCTCTACTCAGCAAAGTTATCCTTCAAAAATTAAGATGAAATAAAAACATTTTCAGATAATCAAAGACTAATAAAATTAATCACTAGCAGGCTCACACTACAGGAAATACTAAGGGATGTTCTTCAAGCAGCATATATATAAATGATCCAAGATGGAAGCTTAGAGACATGAGAAGAAATAAAGCAACAAAAATGGTAAGTTTTGGGGTAAATTTAAAATGAATAACAACTGAACAAAACAATGTTATAATGTCCTGTTGATGTTAAAATATACACAGAATGAAAATATGTGTCAATAATGCTACAAGTTAAGAACTAGTAGAAAATAAAGTATTATAAGAGCTTTGCATTGTCCAGAAAGCTAACTTATATTAGATTTCGATAAGCCAAGGATGAATGTTTTAATCTCTAGCAGCACTCCTCAGAGAACTATAGTATACAACATCATGTTGTATACTATAAATTTATATAAATTTTGTTAATAAATAGAAAGATATAAACTGTATCAATGCTCTAACTTAACCACTGGACAATAACAAGTCCCAACTATATGCTGCTTGAAAGCTACACCTTAAATAGAAGGATACAAAAAAGCTGACAGTAAAAGGATGGGAAAAGATATACCCTGCAGACTTTAACCAAAAGAAAGCTAAAAATCAGAAGGTGAAAAGAATATTTAAGATACAAAACTTAAAATAAAAAGAAATTTCATAACAGTAAAGTATCTAATCCAGTTTTAAATAAATATGCACCTGATAACATTGCATCCAAATGTATAAATCAAATAATGACAGAACTAAAAGAAAAAGTAGACAAAACCTCAATCTTACTGGGAGATTTCAAGATACACATCCCAGTGACAGTGCAAGTGAACATCCCTACCTCCCAGTACCTAGAATAGGGCCTGACCCATATTAGGGACCCCATCAAAATTAGCTGACCTGAAATGAAAGTGATTTCCACATCCAAGATTTTCCAAGACAGTCTCAATTCCAAGTATAAAACTGTCCCGCTGTCCCCCATATATGTACATTTGTCCAGAAGTCTGTTTTGGAAAATGAAAATAGTATCTCCACAGGTTCTTCGAAACCCTTTTACACTGCCTTGTTCTCCTTTTTCCCATAGGGTCCTCGGCCCAGGAGCACTATGGTACTGGAGGTGTTTGGATGGGGAGCCTCTCATACCTGTGCTGGAACATCCGTCCCAGGGATGCGGGTGGACCGCCTGCGGGTGACAATGACTGATGGCTTGTGCTCAGTGGGGTTCTGTTCAGGACCCTTCCCGTCCTCGTCAACACCTCCAGCTTGGGCTGCCTCAGTTGGGTCCACAGACCGCACAGGCACAGACACTGGGATGATGAGGGGTCCCATCCCGCTGTCTTCTCGCGCTCGTTTGGCGGCTAAGGAAGGCTCAGAAAACTCTACCCCACATTTGGTAGTTGAGGCCAGTACACTTTTCCGCTTCTCCTCAGAGCCGCTGGCATCCTGGAAAAGAGGGAGATGGGAGAGAATTGAAGAGAGGTATAGAAGATAAGTCCTGATTTGCTGACTTATCAAAGGGAGGACCCCCACTCCTGTTTAATCCAGGACTCAAACACCCACAGTGGCTCCAATGGTCTGACAGCCTGGCCTTTCCCTGACCACCTTTTCTCCCACCACATTCCCAGAAAGTCTCCATAACCTCCCTTCTGCCAGGTCCTGTCATCTTCCAGACGGCCATCTCAGGCCACAAGTGGCTTACAGATATGTTTCATTTGACCTGCACCGTGGGTGGGCACATGAAATCGTATCTAAATATTCAAAAAATACCTCTGCGAAGAAAAGTAAGCAAGAACCCTGTGGCAAGGTGGTCGTGGTCCTATTTCCCCACAGGCAGCTCTGGCTGGCTACAGCGAAGTCCTGCAGCCTCCTCCATATCAGCCCAACGCCCCCTGCCAGGCCTGGCCTCCACCCTGCACCACACTCACCTTTGCATTCTGCAGTGAGGCCAGCTCTGCCGCCTTTTGGGCCAGGGTCATCAAATTGGCCTCCTGGGACGCCCGGCGCCTCCGCCGCGTGCTCTGGATCACCCCACCCCGTAGCACCTGCCCACAGTCCCCTGTGCCCACTGCCCTCATGCCCTCCTCGCTGCCCATGGTGGGAGCTTCCCGTTCCCGACCATTGGGTGCCAGTCTCTCCCCATCAGACAGCAGCTGCGACTCCCTCAGCTCCAGTGGGAATCCCAGAGCTTCAGGATGAGGCTGTGCCAGGGAGCCAGGTGGCGGCTGCTGCAGGGGCCAGTGATGTAGGAACAGATTGCCGGTGGGCTCCTGCCCAGGTTGGGTGCCAGCCCCATCCAGGGCAGTGGGAGGCAGGATACCCTCCTTCGAGAGGCGGCGGGAGCGGCGAGGGAAGGGGATCTGGACCTGAGGTAGCGCAGGCTGCGGGGCTGACTCCTGCAGGAGGGCCTTGCGCAGTTCTGGGTTCATATCTGGGTTGGGAGGGAAGGGATAGGGTGCCATGCTGTGGTGAGGCAGGTGGGACTGTCCCAGTGGCCCAGCTGGCTGCAGGCCAAAGTCCTGGGGCTGCTGAGCGGGCTGCTGCATGGGATAGAAGTTCTCAAAGAGCGGCATCTGAGGGAGGGCTGCCTGCTGCTGCTGCTGCTGCTGCGTCTTCTGTGGGGGGAAGGCGGCCACGGGGTTTGGGGGAGGTGGGCCCTGCCGGAAGACCTGCCGGTTCACCTGGGGGCCGAACGCCAGCTGGAACGGTTGCAAGGGCAGCGTCTGGTTTGGGGGTTTCTTGGCTGCATGGAAAGAATTCAGGGGCGCCTGGGGCTGCCCTACTTCCAGCTGCACCTTCTGTGGCATCATTGGCCGCACCGCATTTCCATAGCGGTCCAGTTGTGGGCCCCCTCCTTTCTCCCGCTTCAGAGCCTCGGGGTGGTTATAGTAGGTAGAGACCCCCACGCCAGGATGAGGGCTCCCCTTCGGTCCACTGTAGAGGGATAGGCTGTGGCAGTTCCAAGTCGAATGAGGTGGAGGCTGGCCCGGCTGCTGCTGCCAGCTGCTGTCACTGACACCCCCGCCTCCTCCCCGCTCAGGGCCCCGACCTGGAGCCATCACAGAGTTGGGCCACTTTACTGAGCCCACCTGCTGGGACAGCATGGCTGCTGTGGTCCGCTCAGGCCCATACACCACAGAGTTCAGCAGGGCCAGGCTGCTGGGAGGGGGCAGTTCCACGGGCTGGGAGGTGGAGGCTGCCCCTGCAGGGCCCTCGTGCCCACCGTACTGCTCCTCCTTCACTCTGATGGACTGCTGTGGGGCCTGCAGGGGTGGGGGCTGCTCCTTGGGAGCTGGTTCCTGGTCCCCAAAGAGGCAACGCTTCCGCTTGTTTTGAGCCTTGGGCTGGGCCTGGAAGTTCATGGTGTGCCCAACTGAGCCCTGGCAGTGAGATCTACTTCACCAGTTGCCCATCCCCTGGAGAAAGATCCTGTTGGAAGGCCAGTCCTTGTCTATGAGCCAGTGAGGGCAGAGCAGGGGCAGAGGAAGATGCTGGATGACACAGTCAGGCACGGGGAGAAACAGCTGCTGGCTCTTCCTTCCTCTTCGGGAGAGGTTCTTGGGCTCGTCTACGCTTCCCAGGTCATGATGCTCCACAGGGTCCTGGAGCCTGTGCAGGGAAGAGCAGCGATAGTGTCAGCCACAGCCTGCCGGGATGCCCTGAGTGTTGGCACAAGGGTGAGAAAGAGGCCTCCAAGGCCCTCATTCCCACCACCTCATGTCACAGGGATGAACCCAGCCAGGGTCACAGTGCAGCACTGGTGAGGCAGGAGCAGAGACTTTTGGGGACCTGCCAGGAAGGCAGCAAATCCATAGCATCTCTCAAGTACTCTGTGACTCTCCTCTTGTCCCATCACCTCACCCTCCTGGTTAGGCTCCAGGGCTGCTGCACCTGGTTGTATAATTTGTGCACCACACAAAGGCACGTGCTAAGGGGGCAAGTGGGACTGACATCCAACTCAGCCCCCTCTGGCAAAGCTGGGAAAGGGGTGACAAAAGCCACATTAACCCAGGCTCCAGCCTCCGGGGCGGACAGGCCTGATCCTCCTTGCACATCCGTCTACACAGTAGCCTCCCGCCAAACCCAGAAGGATGTTTATCCAGCCCACACCTCCTCTGACACTCCAAACACATCTCAGACACAGGAAGTGGACAGGACAAGGGTCATTCCCAACATGGTCACCCCTCCTGTGCAGCCCCAGGGGCAGGAGCCCCCTCAGGCCCTTGCAGAGGCCAGGCCCAGGGCTAGGCTCACTGTCTTTAACACTGAGGCACGCAGGTGAGGCCCAGGAAGGGCGTGTGCAGTCCTAGCCCCACCCCTGGGAAGAGCTGCTGGGTGGGGCTCTGCTGCCAGAGTCTTCCCCAAACTAGCACAGAACCTGTTCTGCAGCCCTGGCAGGCTGAAGGCAGGACCCAACCCAGGAGCTGGTCAGCAGCCTGCCCCCTGCTCCCTCCTAAACAAAGAATAGTATAACTCAGACATTCCTGGGTGCAGATTGCTAGAACGTAGGTCCAGAAGATTTCTCCATGATAATGTCATGACTGAAGTGCTCAGTTTTTCTGTTTTTGTTTTCTGATTTTTTGGGCGGGGGGGGGGGGCAGGCAGCAAACTCTCACTCTGTTGCCTGACTAGAGTGCAATGGTGTCACATCAGAGCTCACTGCAACCTCAAAGTCCTGGGCTCAAGTGATCCTCCTGCCTCAGCCTCCTGAGTAGCTGGGACTACAGGTACACACCACGACGCCCAGCTAATTTTTCTATTTTTTTATAGCCATGGGATCTCGCTCTTGCTCAAGATGGTCTCGAACTCCTGACCTCAAGTGATCTTCCTGGCTGGGCCTCCCAGAGTGCTAAGATTACAGGCGTGAGCCACTGCACCTGGCCCTAACTTGATTTTTTTGAAAAAGATTGCGATAGAACAGAGAGAATCCAGACCTGCATTTTACAACTTACATAGCTGCTTGCATGTATGTTTAAAGATTTTTTCTTTCTTCAGAAAGGTTTCATTTGTTTAGATTTTTCTTCCTCCCAGGGAAGTTGGTGTGGAGGGGGTAGCTACATGGCCCACTTCTTCCCCCAGTAAGATTCTGGTCCCAGATCAGTCAGACCAGGAGGGGAGACC